TCTCTCTCTCTCCTATTGTATTTCTTGAGTTTTGTGAGACTTATTGTAGTGTGAAAGGTTGACACAAAGCACCTAAATCTCCATATTTGAAGATTAATAGAACTCGTTCAAGAGGTATCAAAAAAAAATTATAAGGGACTAAAATAGGGTTTTAGCCAATAATAGATACACTTTGTTGGTTACATATGTTGATCTATTTATGTCTTTCCTTCTTCATGTATAGAGAATTTAAATTTGTTGCCTGTCTATTTCTTTTATTTGTCTGATTTACTTGCATGTCTATAAATCTCAATTTTCCATGTCATTACAGATTTTGGGCAAATGATCTTATATTTAAGAGTATTGCTTTAGGATTTTATAGGATTTTAAAACTTTTTTTTTGAATAAAAAAGTTTGTTGGTATTCGATCAGGATTTTATGTCACTTAAAAATAATACAGTTGTTTGTGGAGGATTTCGTTCGTAGGTTCTTTTTGTTTGAACTAGCACAAGTTCACGTTTCAATTTATGCGTATTCGTGACATGACAGAATCGAAGACTTTTCGTGAAAGAATAAATTCGTACAAGCAACGAATAGAGTTAAGTTAGGGTGTTGTTACAGCACGTCAGAAGATCTATGCTCATTCGAGCACTTTAGAAGATCTATGCTGGTTTGGCACATCAGAAGATCTATGCTCACTATTTCGAGCACGTCAGAAGATCTATGTCAGTCTTAGCACTTCAGAAGATCTATGTTTGTTTCAGCACATCAGAAGATTTATGCTAATTGTATAATCAAATTCATGCATGTAATAATTTACGTGAATTGAACAGATGACATGTATATTGACTGCAGAAATCATATCCTTCATTAAATGGTAACAGAATTACAATTCGTAAGGATAACGAAACATGTTCAGAATGACTACACTACACTAGGCTAGATTATGCTATGCTACGCTACTCCTAAAAAGGAAAAAGAAAAGTGGTCGAGAAATCATACCCAAAGTTGTCTCGTATGCACAGTATGCCTTATGCGCAGGCTGCGGAGTGCGTGTGAGGTATTGTGGGAATTAGATTTATGACCCCTTGCTACGAGCATAGCTCGTTTAATTTATAGACAGAGATTTGGGAAAAAATAACTATTTCTGACGCACCCCGAAAGTGCATAACCATTCTAAACTTCCACGTAGTGGCTTGCTCCCGGGCCCGTCTCTGGATAATTCTTGGAACTACTCGTTAACTTCCCCAAACCGTTCTGCAGCCTTTGAAACTTATCCCATGTTACTTCAATCGCTCCTAATTCGTGTCTCCTTTAAGTTCTCCATTCTGAGAGGTTATGAAGTGTATTCGTATATGTCCGGATTCTTGAGATTTCGAGTAACCAACGAAAACTATACTTGAATGTTTTCTGATTCTGCTTGTACTTTGAGAGGTTGCTAGGTTGTGAGCCCTTTTCCTGAGCATCATCCTTCCTGGTTCAAGGATTTCGAGAGTCTCACCAAAAATGTCTTCGCGTATCTCTTGATTCTCTTCAAGCTTTATATGCCTTCTTTAGAAATTTCTCTGCCCTTTTTCGATCATCTGGGATTTCGAACACCCTTGTGTTTCGAGTGTCTCCGAATTCATTTTCTGGTACTAACAAATGCCCCCTGGAAAACATTTGTTTCGAGATAACTGAGAAAGAATGTTTTCCAATACCTCAATCATCTTTTCTGATAAGAATCACGTGTACGTGTCCTTCACGAGACTTTAAATGCCTCTGACATTATTAATTCCAAATTTCTCCTTTTCGTACCTGTTGCAGTAAATTTGGCGGCACTGATTTCGCTTCCCCGGGATATGCTGACGCAATTTCAAATTTTTCCGTTAGCGAAATATTTTCGGTTACCCAAAAATTTGAATTCCCCCTTTTTGAATTTCACAGCGGGCTTTTACTACGCCTTGGCCCATTTTGCTCTTTCATATAACCTTTTCACCTTGCCCTTCTGAGTACGTTTTACTGCACCCTCGCACTCATCTCATTTTTACCTTCGACTTCTTCATCATCTCCATCTCGTTCCCATGGCAACTTTCGCTGCATCCGCGTCTACGACTACACCTGCGACTTCGACAGTTTCCCCTACTCCTTCCGTTCCTTTGCTGACGAAGAACGCAACTATTTCCCACTTAAGCGAAGGGGCTAACCCATTCGTTCCTATCCCTGGCATGGAGGAAGCCAGTCTCAAAATCTTCCAATCACAGGTACTTCTCCCTTTTTCGCTCTCTGACGGATCAATGCATGCTTTTCTAGGTCCCTTTTCGAATCCAAGCAAGAAGAAGACTCATAATGATTTACTTCCGGAAGATGATTCTACCCTTCCTTTCGTCTACTCTCCAACCATCGACCTTTCTCTTTTTTCGGATACCGCAAAGATGTTTCGGGCTTTTCCCCCTCCCAAGGACAAACATATTCAATGGTTGGAACGTATTGAGGCCTCGAAGCAATCTATCTGGAAAGAGGCTGGAATATTCGATTTTGTTCAATTATCGAAATACGATCTGAACGTTTTCGATCCTCAGATGTTATTATATGTTGTTTTCTTTTGGAACAAGGAAACTCGTGCTTTCGAATTTCCTTGTGGTTTTGTCAATCCCACTCTCTTGGATATCACTGCCATCACGGGACTGAAACCCTTGGGGGACCGTTATCTTCCTGACACTCTCGAAGAAGAGATTCCAATGACCGAAACTTCGATCGTTTGGGACAAAAAGACGTATTCGGCCTTTGTCAGTGCACACCATGGCGAAGAAGGTACTCCTGTTACTAACTCTGAGCACATTGCCTTCTTGCTCTATTGGTTGTCTGCTTGTGTCTTTTGTACCCCTTCTCTGCAAGTTCCCAAGTACTACTACACACTCGCCCAGGCTTTGCATCTGAAGAAAAAGATTTTCTTGAGCAAGTTGTTACTTGCCTCTTTTTATAACTGTCTTGATGAAGCCTCGAAAAGCTTGTTTCGAGAGACTGGCCCTCGCAACCTCATAGGGCCACTTTGGCTTTTGCAACTATGGCTTAATGCCATTTTCGAGAAGAAACTGAAGCTTCTTCCTCTTCAAGCCTCCATTCGATATAATCTCGAAGGCGCTCGCTTAACTGCCTTGACTCCCAAGAAAAAATCTGTTGATGGTTTTGCCCGTTATGTCCAAGCAATTCTTGAATTCGAGGAGTTCTCGAATGATTTGGCTCCTTTCATCCGTGCTGATTTGGTAGGGCCTTCCTGGTTAATTGGTAATAATCAGGTAGGACAGATTTCCCAGGAGATGGTCGAAATCTGGATGGGATTCCTATCTTGGGATCTCATTTTCACTGGGATGAAACAAAGGGATGTAAGAGTTTATCCCTATCAGCCTCAAATCTTTGCCCGTCAATTCGGGCTTTGTCAGATTAGACCGACACCTCTTTTTCCAAAGGATAGAATTGATTCTGATGTTTGTGTAGAAGATGTTGATTATGATGGCTTTTTGAAGTTCATCCTGACGCCTTCCACCCAATTGAACCTTACCCCTTGTTCTTTTCTTCCCGCATTCTTGGTGTCCAATTGCTACCTTCGATGGTGGTGTAGTTATTACACCAACAAGATGTTCTCCTTCGAGGAATTTTCTCGGAAACTTACAAATTCTCCCTTTTCTCTGCAGGGCCCGAAGATTTCAGGTATTTATGATAATCGCAACATTATTTCCCAGTTCAAATTATATTACAGAGTCTGTTATCGCCTCAAAAATATGTTTTGAACTATCTTCGATGCTACTTTATCCCTGACTAGAATGGTACAACGGAACATCCGTCGAAATAAAGTCATTGATCCTCAAGGTCAAACTACTTTTGCAAATTTTTGTCCTAAGGACATACCTCCTCTTCCTAATGCCCTTTTTAGCCCTGCAAAACGTCTTGATTATCCTCCTTGGGTGAAAACCCTTGATCCCTCGTATGAGAATAATAAGAACATTCCTTTTAAGGATCGAGTGACGAGTACGAGATGTTCTGTGTATGATTTTCCCAGGGATAAACAATGGCCTTTATGCTGGGTTGACAATACTGTTGTCTATCCTAGTAATTAAACTTTGCCTTTTCTTTTCATGTTGGCTTCTAATTTCACATCTCTACTCATTTTCCTCTTCTTCTCGTATAGCTGCTATTGCCCAAAAAGTTCCTTAGCATCTCGAGGATACTCAACAACGGGAGACAGCTTCAGAGGATGACGAAGATAATACTTCGTTGAAGCCTTGGAAACGAAAGACCCTTTCTGACCGACTTCGGTCTCGCTCGAAGGTAATATGTTCCTTCTTCCGGAATTACACTGAATTTATGGCCGCTCCTGACTTTGCATTTTGTTCTTGTAGGAGGTTGAGGTTCTTAAGAAAAAACTTTGTTCAGACTCTCAAAGTGGGCAATCTGTAAGTTATCTTTCTGAGTGCACTCGAAATTGCCACTCAACTGCCATACTGATCTCTTTGCTCTTTTAACATTTTTCAGGATTCCACTACTCGAAGATCCTCTCGAGATAAAGGGAAAAAAAGGCAATTTCGACTAGGTCTATCCCCAGACCTAAAGTTCCCACTGAGAAGCTTATGAAGGATGCAATGAAATCCCCTGTCCAGGTAATGTGCTAATTTTATGGACCTTCCTCTTTGATTTGATTTTGTCCTCTGTAATGATTTCTCCTTTTTCCAGAAAAAGTTTGATTCAGAGGCGTCCGAGTCTTTGATAGACTATGGCCAAGGCCAAGGAATCCAAGAGGTGATATCTTAAAAGATCCAAGAGGAATGGGATGATATTAAAGACCTTTCATATGTTTGTACATATAGTAGTCTCTTTGTTATTTTTGCCTTTATATTTGTGAGGCACTTTACTTGCTTTTAACTAGTGATTGTATATTGATTTTAGGGTGGGTTACTTGGAGAGTTTAACTCCATTTAACCTCCTTTGTTGATACATTCATTTTATATTTTTTCAGTAGGGAAAAAGGGGTGGCATTTAGCAATGCTTGAGGGTGTGACTAGTAATTGGGCCAGAACTGGGCCTAGGCAAAATTTTGCATATTAGACTCATTTTGCTCCTAATTTTTCATAGATTTGATTTAGCTAGGTCTCATCATCATATGATGAACCTAACTAAACCAAATCAAATATTTTTGAAATAAATCATGGAGCATTTTTTAGCCTTGCCCGCCTAGCTCATTCCTTTTATTCTTGGCCGAAATTTCTAGCTTCTCTTACAAGCTTTGAAGCTTTCCTTCCAAGCTTCTAAACCTTAGTAGGTTTGGCTGACCTTACCATGGTTCTTAAGTGAACCATGGTCAAGGTTAGCTTCTCCTACAAGTTTTAGAAACCATGGATGGTTAGCTACACCTTACCATGGTTCCTAGTGAACCATGGTTAAGGTTAGCTTCCTCTACAAGCTACCTCTCCCTATATATTTCTAAATTGCTCATTGTACTTCACTTTTTGAGATATGAAATCAGAATTTGACTCAAATTCTCTCCTCTTAAAGTCCTAAATTTCGTGGAGAAACTTTCTCTCTAAGTTTCTCTCAAAGGTTTCAAACCTTTTAGCTTGTTCAACAAGCTTCATCACTCTTTCATGGAGTAACCGAACCTCCTTGGTGATTCTTCTCCATTGAATCTTCTTAAAAGGAGTTCCTCATCCAAATTCGTGGTCAACCTCAAGAGTTTAAAGGTCTTGGAATGGAGCACTTGAAGATTCATCAATCTTCTCCAAGTAGTTCCATCAGTTTTTGGTATCTAGAGCCTAGTGCTCATGAGGTTTTTGTTTCTAACTTTTCCTACTTGAATCCGTGTTGTCTAATCTTCCTTTTCTATGTCTTAAACTTGTGTTTGTTGTATGGATCTAGTTCTAATACATTGTTTGATGGATCCTATATGTCAAGTATGAATTAATTGATTAATTTTTGCTTTTTCCTATTCTTGTGAATCAATTTCGGTTTTGTGCTTTTAGGTACTCTTAAACTTAAAGGAAGGGTCTTCCTCCCAATCGAACATAGAAAGGTCACAAGAAAAGAATAAAAAGAAAGAAAAAGAAAAACCTAGAGATAAATCTTAAATAGAATCTAGAACAAATTCTATCAAGTACTTTAAATGTTTAGGGAGAGGACACATAGCCTTGCAATGCCCAACTAATAATGATTTTAAGGGGCACTGACATTTATAGTAGTCATAGTACTACATCTTCTTCATTCTATAGTGAAGAAGCTCCACCTTGGGATGGAGACCTTCTTGTTGTTGCTTGCATACCAACTACAAGAGCAACACCAATCTCAAAGAGAACTTATTTAATACAAGATGCAACATTTTGAAAAATACTTGTTCTCTCATCATGGATATTGGTTCTTGTAATAATTTTAGTGCAAGGTTGGTTGAAAAGTTACACTTGACTTCTATTACCCATCCAAAATCACAAATTACAATGGTTTAATGAGGATGGACCAATAGAAGTCAATGACCAAGTAAACATTTCTTTCGCCATTGGAAAATACAAAGATGAAGTTTTATGTGACATAATTCTCATGAAAGAAAGTCATGTATTAATTGGGAGGCCTTGGCAATATGATAGGCAAGCCATCCATGATGGGGGAAATTTGAAGAAAGGGAAATAGCAACGAAATTAGAGACAAAAATTTTCCATTGTAAGCTAATCTGTCACTAAATCCGTCTCCAAGCCTGTCACTAAATTCATTTCTAATTTTTTGAATTATATTTCATTTGTATTTCAATTAGTTTCATTGTGGATTAACTTGTTTGATATTTATTTGTTTCCTTAAGCTTGCACTTGACCTTTAGAAGTGTTTTAATTGGAAAGCCTTTAGTGTTCTCCCACCTCTCTTAGGTATTATTAGTGAAACTTAATATTCGTTAATACTTGTGAAAGTGTCCTAAGGGACTTAAAGTTTCACTTAGGCTTCCGCTAAGGACATGCCCAATTTACTTTTTAGAATCGTTTAGTACTTGTGGAAATGTTCTTAGGGGCTCTAAGTGTCACTTAGAATTTCACCCTAGGGACTTCGACTAGTATATGTTTTTACTTGATTTTTTTTATTGCTATATTCATTTTAGTTTAATTTTCAACACATTTAGGAACGTTTCCAAGTTCATTTAGAAGGCTCCCTTGTCTATTATTTGCAAATCTTGTGAGAACCTTTTCAAGTAAAGATGAGTGATCTTTCTAGACATAATAGTGTGCATGGTTATAACTCTAATAGTGATAAGAGCTCTACTAAAGAATAACTTAGAAAATTAAAAAAATATATTAGGAAAAAGGAAGAAGAAAATATAAAGAGAGAAGAAAAAAATAGGAAAAACAATGAGGCCCTTAGAGAGATGTTGGCCAAACGCATGGCTAGTCATTCTCATGGGAATGGTGTGTCTAGTAAACCCAAGAGGGATGGTGAGGGGACTTCTAAGCCCAAAAGGGGTAAGGAAGTAGAAACGCCTAAAAATAATGAGAGGCCCAAAAGTGATTATGGAGAAGATCATCATCAAATAGCTTCTCACATCTCCCAAAGTGATTCATATTATAGTAGCCACTATGATGAAAACCATTACCAAAAGCCTCTTAGGCAACATAGACATAGGCATGAACAATAAACTTTTAATGAGCCTAAAATAAACCTTCCTCCCTTCCATGGAAAAGATAGTATAGATGACTTTTTAGATTGGGAGATGAAGGTAGAACAAATTTTCACTTACTACAATGTGAGTGAAGAAAAAAAAGTACCTCTGGCCACCCTAGCCTTTCAAGGGAGTGTCATGCATTGGTGGACTTCCCTAGTGAGAGAAAAGTAATTATGAGAGAGCCATCCATTAGATATTGGAATGAACCTAGGAGTGCCTTAAGGAGAAAACACATTCCTCCTGATTATGAGAAGGAGTTAATGGACAAGTTCTAAAGACTCCAACAAAGAAATCAAAGTGTGGAGGAATATAGGCAAAAGATGGAGTTTCTTATGCTAATGGGTAGGGAAGAAGAAATAACCACCATTGCAAGATTTCAAAGTAGCCTTAACATAGATATTAGGGACAAGGTTAAGCTTTTACCATATAGGGACTTTAATGAACGAGTTCAACTTTATGTAAGGGTAGAAAATCAATTAAGGAGAAAACCTAACCTTAGAAAGGAGTCTACCTCTTACCCTAGGAAATATTACAAGAAGGAAGGAGTCTACCTCTTACCCTAGGAAAGATTACAAGAAGGAAGGGTCTTCCTCCCAATCGAACATAGAAAGGTCACAAGAAAAGAATAAAAAGAAAGAAAAAGAAAAACCTAGAGATAAATCTTAAATAGAATCTAGAACAAATTCTATCAAGTACTTTAAATGTTTAGGGAGAGGACACATAGCCTTGCAATGCCCAACTAATAATGATTTTAAGGGGCACTGACATTTATAGTAGTCATAGTACTACATCTTCTTCATTCTATAGTGAAGAAGCTCCACCTTGGGATGGAGACCTTCTTGTTGTTGCTTGCATACCAACTACAAGAGCAACACCAATCTCAAAGAGAACTTATTTAATACAAGATGCAACATTTTGAAAAATACTTGTTCTCTCATCATGGATATTGGTTCTTGTAATAATTTTAGTGCAAGGTTGGTTGAAAAGTTACACTTGACTTCTATTACCCATCCAAAATCACAAATTACAATGGTTTAATGAGGATGGACCAATAGAAGTCAATGACCAAGTAAACATTTCTTTCGCCATTGGAAAATACAAAGATGAAGTTTTATGTGACATAATTCTCATGAAAGAAAGTCATGTATTAATTGGGAGGCCTTGGCAATATGATAGGCAAGCCATCCATGATGGACTCACCAATATGATATGCCTTACCCATCTAGGAAAAAAGACATATGTTGAATCCTTTATCACCTTCACAAGTTTACTCAAAATGACAAAGAAAAAAGAAAAAGAAAAGAAGACACTACTCTTAGAGAAGAGTAAGGAGGATGATGTCTCTTCCAAAAATCTTGTGATAAGGAAAAATCATTTTTCTATTAAAAATGATTGCAAAAAGACTTTTTCTCTTCACAAAGATTTTAGCCTTTCTCCTACTACTGCCATGGGCTTGGAGATTAAGATCCAAAACCAAAATATTTTTGAAAAGAAAGGATCTCAAGTTCTTAGTTTAGTGAAGAAAAAGTGGACTTCAACCTCAAGAGTTTAAAGGTCTTGGAATGGAGCACTTGAATATTCATCAATCTTCTCTAAGTAGTTCCATTAGTTTTCCTCTAAGAGCCCTCGAAGTGCCCCCATTTCTCCTACTACTGCTCCATCTTCTCGAGATGTTATCGAAATTCGTGAATCAGCGTCTCCTCCTGAACGTGTTGAGGTATGTTCTGTTGAATCTCGATTTCTCACTTTTCTGGCCGCTCTCGAACTTGTGCATTATTACACTGCTTTTTCACAATAGGTGGTTTCTTCCAATGTTCTTACGGCCACCATTCCTCTCACCCTGCCAACTACGGAACCTTCCCCTCCTGGTCCTGTGCAAGGTGGTGCACCTTCCTTTAATTTCGACACAGGGGTGTCCTCTAGATAAGGTAGGTAACTACTTCTTGGACATCACGGTATTCCCCCAAAGAATATTTTGTCTCACTGAAATATCCTTTTTCGTGCAGGTCTAGAGGTAACTTCTGAGGATAAACAAATTCCTCTTTCCGGTCAACTTGCGAGTTCGACTGATGTTGTCCCTTCCGACACTCTACTTGCTTCTATTCCTCCGGATGACATAGACCTCATAAGCTTCTTTGATGACGAAGCTGCTC